AGAGAGAGAAGTATGTTTTTTTAATCTTAAAAAAAAAATCCCTAACAGATGCCGAAGTCTGGCCCTTGCAGCTGTACACATTAAGGATTTACTTCAAAGACGTGGGTTGGTGTAACCAACAACTTCTTCACAGAGAACTTGTTTTTACAATACGATTCGATAAACCTTTATTGCCATTAAACAGTGTGGACAGGGAAATAAACAGGAAAAAAACCTCAGGACAAATAGGCCCAATCAACATTGATGAAGAAGTACAAAATGATGAGGAATAATACATATTACCCGGAAAGTGGGGTAAAGGAAAGCTCGATATTATAAGGCAACAGTAAGTTTCAACCTTTCAGTTAAGTAGTTTGATCTCTTTTTAGATCATTGGCTGATTTCCTTTTCAGATCACTTCCCTAATCTTCTCCCTATTTTCTTGAGTGACCGCTGTGCTCCCCTCACTGTGGCAGTGGCAAATGACTTGTTTTTACATTTTGATGCCTGGGAGACCTCCCAAGCAAGCCTTCTGAATTACAGTGGCTCATACTTTTCCAGGGCATTAACTTTCCCCAGTCCAACCCAATGGAAGACTATTTTTCTTTCTCTGTGTGCAGTGTTATCTTCCTCCACACATTCCCCATCACCATCTTCACAACCATGTGTCCATTCCAAGTCACAAGTACTATATCCAGGGGAAAACAGCACAAAATGAATTTTATAAAGAACACAGAAGCCAATTTCCTCCCAGTGAATCTCATACGGTTTGGATGATGCTGAATAACTTTCCCATTGCCATTCTCTAAATGAAAGCAGTGGCACAGACCATTAATATCTGCTTTTGTTTGAACCACAAATGCTGAGGATTTTCAGCCCAATTGCCCTTGCCAATTCTGAGCCCACTCGGACTGTACAGTAGAAAAGCAGTTTGCTTGCTATTGCATTGCTTGACTGAACTTCCACACTTTCTGTTCATCTTTCATCAAATGACACTACGTCTGTTGGTTTCCTTATAAGAAACCTTAAAGTGTTATCTAGGCCTTTGCAGGACTTTTGCAGCAATTGAGACCAGAATAAATGAGCTCAGACTCAACACTGGGTCACTTCTGCCATCCTATGTGAAGCAATACTTAATGAGAACATCTCAAGATGAGAGCGAGGAAAGGACATGCCATTTGCTTGACAGGAATGTGGCAAGAAGGCATGAACAGCAGTAATTTCTGGGAGGAGGGAATTGTTTATAGAAGTGGCCTAAAAATAATAGGACTGTGAGGAAGAGAATTTCTGGGAAACATGGTGATAAATAAACATCAGATTCATTCCATAGGCACTAGAGTTGAGCTCCACCTTTGGAAGTGATTTTGGATTAATTTGGAGAGAACTGAGAATTATCTGAGAAATTCTTCAAATCCAGGGGGTCATAATGAAAGTTATCTGTTCATACCCACCACCTTCTCCCATTTCCAAAAACTGTCCTTCTCTAGCCTTTCTCAGACACCATCTTCCTTTCCTTACTTGGGAGGAGATAAATTGGTGGGAGCAGCAAAGCATGAGTGACAGAACCTGATAAGGATTCCACCCCCTGCCCATTTCTCCCTAGTCTCAGTGAACAAAATTTATATGCCAACATGCTGGGATAAATATGATGACTGTAATTCTTTCAAGGGTTTCTGCACTTGCTTCTCAGATTATCATAGGATAACTTTGTAATTCTTTCAACAAACGTGTGGGTAAACAATAAAATGCCAGCAGATGGCATGGATGACATGTGGCAAGTCTGCATCAGAAATAAATGAGTCTGTGTTACTGACTCTGTGTCACCACAGAGAAAATCCTTTGACCACTTATTCACACTACTCTTGTGCTACCTGGTCTGGGTGCCTGCCAGCTGGGTCAGTGTACCAGTGATTGGGAAAGCTTCTTAGAAGCCTTTTACCCAAGACCCTCTGAGCCACTTGCTCCTTGGTACTTCAGAGAGAACAAAACAGGCAGCTTCCTGGTTGCAAACCACCCCTGCAAGGTAGAAATTTGAAAACCCACAAAAAATGTTCCAAAACCTCCAAGTTCATAAGATGCAACCTCTCCAGCTGTTTAAATGAACATGCAGCTGTAAAATGTTGTAATTTTATTGAATAAAGGTTAGTAAAACACATAGGTTCAGCAAAAGGGTTAATGATTCTAGTGAAATTAATGTAACATGAAGCAGTTCCTTATTACAGAAAAAAAAATAAAAGCAGTTTCAGCATTTCAGGCAGTTAGGACTTATTCCACAGAAAATAATAAAGCTATCAAATTCTAAGCTATACTAACAACAATTCATAGTTCCAAAGCATAAGCAAAGTTCAGCATGAGGGTAGATACATGTTGATGAAAGCATGAAGAAGCTTATTACTCCTAGCTAGCTGCTACTCAACTAAGTCATTGTTCCACCTAACCTTATATCCCATCATTCTTTCATGAGCTGGCTAAAGCCTCCCACCAATCAGATGAATCCAATTAGTTGGTTTCTGCTGCATGAGCTCTTCCAGGATCTCCACAAGTTCAAACCATCAGCATATCATGGGAAGCCAAGCACTGGCTTCTTCTCAGAAGACATTTCAAGGGCTTGGATAAGGTTTCACAGTCCTTCAGGGTGATTAACCCCTTTTCTGCTAAATTCATCACAGTCTGTACCAGAAATACATTCGGGTGGAAGTCTGCACTATGATCTGGCTATTTGCTGTCAGTACAGGCAGAGACCTTTCAACCTTCCAGAGAGAAAGAAGTATGCAGAATTATACTTGCTTCTTCTAAGGCCTTTGATGGCACTTTAATTTACATTAAATAGTTTAATTTCTATCTTTGGATCTGGTACTGAGGAAAGATGTTGATTTCAAATTCAATAGCTTGTCAATAGTGTGGAAACATTTAATAGTCTTAATAGCTCCTTGGAGTTAAATTAGTTTCTTGAAACCTATTGGGCATTAAGGTGTTTGTTTTGAATGCATCTCGGTGACAGTAGTATTGAGCCAGAATGCATGGGAATATATCAATTTTATGGGTATCCACTAACTAATTATGCTTCTCTTTGCTTCCTTTGTTTCTACTGCATTAATAGCACTGTGTAAAAATAAAAACAGAGGTTGTAAAAACATCATCTGACAAAGCCATTGACATCTCTTTGTATTTTTTTTAAACAAACACCTATGCATTCCTAGAAAGTGCTGACAAGATTTAGCAAGGAACAGAAGATAATTAAGAAGAGAATGACTATTTAAGTCATAATATTGTCTGTTATTATACTTTTTGAAATACTTTTTCCATCTATTGTTCTTCACTGCTTTTTATCTTTTGACAGATAGATGATGGAGAGAGATAGAGAAAGAAAGTTAACAGAAAATATAGGAGAACAATGTGTGTGTGTGTATATATATATATATATATATGTACATATACCAACTGATGTGTCCAAATAATAAATGGTCTATGCTGGATCAGACCAAAGGCTATTCAGTATTTATTTACCTTGTTAAATTGCTCCTCTGTTCTCGAGTTGATTGATGTTAACTTGATACTTTAATTCTATCCTTCTGTTCCATTGGATTAGCACATTATTATGTTAAATGTATAAAGTTGCTTGCTAAATACAAGTAGTTGAGTGATCTGTGATTATTGATGAAACCATGTCCTGTGATGCAACCCTGAGGCATCTGTTATTACTGGCAGACCTGACTGTGGCACTTTGTGAATATCAAACACAGCTTCAGAATTGCTAACATCACAGTTCTGTATAGGTCTGGTCATTTGTTAATTGTTCAACAGAGGTATCAGTACAGAAACATTCATGGTATTATAGAATTGTTAATCTAGATCTTTCTTTGTCCCAGAGTGTTGTATGGGATTTTATGCCTTTTATTCTTTCCTCCTCTGGGATTTCCTAACAAGATATCCTCATCCTCAGTTTCTTCCCATGAAATCCTGTCCATAATTCTTTATACTATGTAGGAATTGATGCCATGCTCTCCAGTATTCCTGATCACCACTTAAATAAGTCTTCCTGCATACAATTAAGCTTGACAGTCCTGCATTGCCTATGCCTTAAGTATGCCCCTCCACAGGTTTTTGTATCTGTTGTTCTTGTCAATTTCAGGCCCTATTGATGGTCCATGTCAAAGGGTTACCTACATGCACTGACCAGCACAACTGTTTGAAAATGACTGTTTGTAAAAGTCTGAAATTGATGAAAACAATAAAGAATTACATTTCCAAGCATATTTGGAAGTGCCTATTTCACTTTTGACAAATATATCCATAGCTAAATTTAACTGTTGTACCCATAAACCTCTCCTCTCTTTGGGGTACGTCAATGACATTTTTTGATTTGGACCCATGGGAAAAAATCCCTCTAGAAATTCCATCAGGATTTCAATAACTTTCACATGAACATCAACCCCATGCTGGAACAATCTACACAACATGTACATTTTCTAGACACCACATCTTAGCACCACACTGTACAGAAAACCCACCAAACAATACACCTACCTACATGCTTCCAGCTTTCATTCTGAGCACATGACAAAACCAAAATATTGTCTACACTCAGGGTCGCAGATACAATTGCAGCTGCCTGGACCCACACAAGGGAGACTCCAGACTCAAGGATCATGTTCCTCAGACTATGATACCCACCCAATATGATTGAGGAATAAATTAACAAAGCAAATGGAAACCCAGAAGTAACCTACTGCAGGACATACCTAGAAGAGAAAATGACCAAACACCACTAGTTGTCACCTACACCTACAGATCATCCTTGACAACAATATTTCACTCTCCCAAGCCCTTGGTTGCAGATCTATAATTGCGTACAGACAACCCCCAAATCTCAAGCAACTATGTAACTTCATTTTTGTTAACCTTTCCAAATGTTCCACTGATCTAGAAGGTGTATCTAGATAATATTTTTTTACTTAACACATTATTTTATTGGGCACTTAAGAGTATACTGAAGGTTAGTTCAGACTAAAGTTACTCACCTTATGTCTCGTGGATAATATATGTTATCTGTGTCTTGTCCTGTTGGTTTCCAATCCTATTTTCTTGATCTTGGATCTGGTCCTAAATACTTGCATTCACAGAGCTAAATAACTAGATAAAAAAAGAAAAAGGTCAAGCTACAAGCTTAAAATATGGACATTTTTTTTTCTTTTCTTTCTTTTTGGAACCCACCTTTATGAGTCCCTTCGCAAAGAACCAAGAACACACTTGGAATACAAATCTTTAACAGGAACCTGCTGTTAATGCTATTTAAGCAGCTTTCCTGGCAGCTCAAGTGAAATCGTTATCCAAACACAGTTCTAAGAGATGTTTATGGACTAAACATTTAAGCCCAGAAAATGCTTTAGAGAAACTATGTCGCCTTATTTTGGAAGCACTTTCCCAACTGCTGGCATCGTTACAGTTCGCTGTCCTGGTGTGGCTAGAATGAAGTTTCAACAGCTTTTCCCATCATTAACCAGCCCTTTCAAGAGACTATAAACATGGTCATTAAGGTTTACTGTGAGTCAGAACTTAGGGTCTTAAGATTTTTAACCCAGGAGTTCATGCTTTTTACAATGAAAACATATCTATTCTTTCTCTATGTAAAGTACCTGGATATATTTATCTCATTATTTCCCTATATAATGGGTCTTTCAGTGTTTCCAGATATCTTTAGTACTGTTGAGATGTTGCTCTTAATCAGTGAGCTGGAGATAAGGCAGCAGCTATGTTTCCAAACAGTACGACATAAAGTCCTTTATTTTCTTTTTTTAATATATTTTTTAATATTTTATTTTTAACAAAGGGTGACAAAAAGGAAAAGGGGATTGAGGTTAAGGGGGGAAAGGAGAAACAATGACATACTAACATCCATTCTATACATATTGCCATTTCAAAATTCCAAATTGCTCTTTTTACTATTTTCTGCCTTCCAAATTTAAGTTCTCATTTCAATATATGCTCTTTATACGATGTCTGTTGACTCAATCCATTTATAGAATAAGTCCCATCTTTCAGTTGCCTTTTTGTACAGGACAGTCCTTCATCACTTCTGATAAAATGTCCATTTCCGCTGTTTCCCATATCTTCTCTATAAGATCTTGTTTCGGTACCGTCGGACTTTTCCAATTTTTGGCATATAGAATTCTGGCTGCAGTGACTATGTATATAACTATATACTCCTTTGTCTTATTTATGTTATCAGGTATCATACTCAATAAAAACAGTTCTGGGGTTAATGGCACCTTACAGAGCAATATTTGTTGCAACACAGCATGTACTGTTTTCCAATACTGTTTCGCTACTCTACATGACCACTACATATGATAATAGCTGCCCACATGTGCTTCACATTTCCAACACACATTTGATACATCTGTATACATCTTCGACAATTTTTTCTGGAGTCATATGCCACCTGTAAAACATCTTGTATATATTCTCCTTAAAATTAACCGATCTTGTAAGCTTTATATTATTTTGCCATATTTTGAACCATTGATCAATATCAATATTATGCCCTATGTTTTGTGCCCACTTAATCCTACATTCTTTAACCATTTCATCTTGCATTTTGATTTCTAACAGATAGAGTCCTTTATTTTTCATTGCAGTCCTATTGTATACCATCTGAGTGAGAAAAGTAAAACATAGTTGAGTTCCGTAATTACATGTTTCTTTTGACATGGTTTCGTTCTACTTATTTTTCCACCATCCCCTTAACTGTTTCCTGGGAAGACTCTTTAGCACTATTTCCACAATGTTTTCCATTTTTCCTGATTATTTCCATTTAGGAAGGGAGAAGCAGTGCCTTCTTTCAGCACTGCTTCCTCTTGAATGGTATGGAGGAAAGGCAGTTAAAAGGAAGGGGTATTTGTCGACTGGATAAATAACTGCCTTTCCACTAGAGTTGTCAGGTACAGACACTTGACGGAACAGAACATAACAAAGACTGAGGGAAAGTGTTGCCCATCTCCAGAGGCAGGTAAAAAGTGATCAAATGCTATCTTTTTCCTGGAACAGTGTTGTTTTAGTGGAATTTAACCTAATTTTTTGTAAAAAAAAGGAACAGAACATAACAAAGACTGAGGGAAAGTGTTGCCCATCTCCAGAGGCAGGTAAAAAGTGATCAAATGCTATCTTTTTCCTGGAACAGTGTTGTTTCAGTGCAATTTAATCTAATTTTTTGTAAAAAAAAAAAATGAAGCTCAGGCTGCGGTTTAGGAGTGGCCAGCCAGACTTGGAGTGGGTGGGAGCTTCCCCCCCCCCGCCTACACTCTTAACAGAGCATAAATCTGGGGTTTGGGCTAACTTGGTCTCTCCGTCATAAAGAACAAGCCCATCTTCTTGTGGTTTTCAAGGAAGTGATTTCACATTGTTTCCATTTGGGTCTTTTCAAATGGTTTTAAATACCATTAGGAACCTGTCTGAAGTAAAGTAGTGGGGGAAGTACAAAATACATTACATCACATAAAACTGTGATTTAAAAGAACATATTCTTGTGCATCCCACACCTCTCTCTCTCTCTCTCTCTTCCTGCCATTCATTCTCTTTCACTACCGAGGACTCTTCATCCCCTTTTGGTCTGGTCACTCTGATTCCAGCAGAGGAAGGTGGCATCTGGAAAAGAAACTCCCTCAGCACACTCTGCTCCATTTCTACATGGTCAGAAGTTCCTTTGACTAGACTTGGCAACCCTCCTGTACCAGCTGGTTCCTGGAACCTCTGCTTACAAAATGGAAGGATGAATCTAGAGTCTGACATAGCCAGTCATTCTCTGTACTTGGGCAGGTGTGGCCCGTGGAGCTTCCTACGTATCACCCTGACATGGGTTCATCACCACTTGTTAATTCACAGTAATTCATCAGTTACCACCCCATGCCTTGCAGTGAGGCTTCTGGGTGGAAAGACAAGCTCAGCTTTCCATTCTCAGCCTCCCAATGGTCTTATAACCACTTTCTACTCCACACCCAGCATCTTATCTTGTAGTCACTGCTAGTGACTAACTGCTATATTTTAAGGTGAGCTTTAGTGGACATACGTGAGGGTATGAACTTGTTCACAAATAGCAGTTAGTCTTTAAGGTGCCACGACATTTTTGTTTTCTTTATTTTTTTCTTTTTCTTTTGGTTTTGCTCTGACCTCCTACTGAGTTGTATTTTCCCCATAGGATAAAACTACTCTTTCAGTTACTTTTGGATAACAAAAAATTAAAAGAGTCTCTCTCTCTCTCCTTCTGTCTTAGAGATTTTACACCAGTTACAACTCTTTAGGGTGAAGTGTGGCTTTGCTGGTTGAATCATACGCTGAAAAATAATATATGTATATTTTAAAAAATTGTAAGTATACTCAGTAACTAATTACTTGGGGGTCTTAAAATGGTACTGCAGCTAATTGATTTTTTAAAAGTAATTTTTCTCACTCTTTAAGTCTGTAACCCCAAGCAAAGCAATAGTTATGTTTAGGAAACGTAATGATTCATGCTGAATCTCTCCCTCCCTCCCTCTCTCTCTCTCTCTCTCTCTCTCTCTCTGTCTCTGTCTCTCTCTCTCTCTCTCTCTCTCTCTCACACACACACACACACACACACACATGCACTTTCACTCCTCCAAACATCAGAATAGCATGAAAAAAGAGCACAGAATAAGGACTATATATTAACATATAACTTGTATGTGAACAAAGCGCAGCTTGTAGATTGGAAGAAACATTGCATCTGTATTGATATACTCTACCTAGCTTTATTATCATTATTCTCAGTTCACCATTTTGAGAAGTTCCCATAATCCCTTTTTTAAGAAATCATAAAATGCTTCTTCATTCACATACCATTTTTGGAGAACTTTCTATTGTGCCTCCACTCAAGTATTTGTGTGCTTAAAAACTTAATGGAGAGGAAACAGACATAAAGCCAAGGAAATGACATTAAAAAGCATTAAAACAGCAATGAAGTAGGTGATAAAAGCTAACACACAAAATATGTGTCTCTTATGGAACTCATTATGATTAGTGATGGGCGAACTCCTCAGTTCAGTTCAGAATTGGTTTGGCATATATGAGAACTGCTTGAAGAAGCTTATCTGGTGTACAGCCTCCAAAATAGTCTGCACACTGCCATAAGCGCCACAGGGACCCTGCTGAGAAGTCAAGTCCAATTGGTGCACCCCAAGGGACTAGATCTGGCCTGAGGTTCTCCAGTTGCTGATCTCTAAACTTCATCAACTCTTGGCTTGATTCAGCAATGCAGTTGTTATAATATGACCAAACTGGAATCTCTTTAAGAGTTCAGTGCTCTGTCAATCCCAGGTGACTCTTTCAATTTTGGGAATTATTATTATTGCTGTTATAAAGTGTATAATAATAGTTTACCATTAAAAACAACTGTAATGTCTGTCTTTGCTAGTGATTTCCTATTGTCATTGCCATTTTGTTATTATTGTTATTATTGTTATTATTGTTATTGTTATTGTTATTATTATTGTTATTGTTATTATTATTATTATTATTATTATTATTATTATTATTATTATTATTATTATTATTATTATTTCATTTATATCCTGCCCATTTAGACCGAAGTCTACTCTGGGCGGCTAACAGCGATATTAAAATAAAATAAAACAACAATATTAATTCACTAGAGAATGGCAAAATAAGTTAGGTATCGACAGGAGGGAAGGCCTGTTTGAAGAGCCAGGTCTTAAGTTGGCTCTTAAAAACGCCCAGCGAGGGAGCCAGACAAATTTATGGGGGGAGATTGTTCCAGAGCCGAAGGGCTACTGCCAAGAAGGCCCGCTTTCCTGTTCTTTCTCTTTGGGCCTCCCTCAGCATTAGGCCCCTCAGCCGCCCCTCCTGGCTAGAGCAAGTGATACAAGTAGATCTAGATGGGAGAAGGCATTCCGCCAGATATTACGGTCCTAAACCATTTAGGGCTTTATATGTCATCATTAATACTTTGAAATCAGTGCGGAAATGAACAGGTAGCCAATGCAAGGCCGCCAGAGTAGGGGAGATATGTTGATGTTTTCTCACCCCAGAAAGAAGTCTGGCCACCGCGTTCTGCACCATTTGAAGCTTCTGCATCAATCTCAAAGGTAGCCCCATGTAGAGTGCATTACAGTAGTCTAATCTTGGGACTACAAGTGCATGAACCAGAGTGGTGAGGGCCCTGACATCAAGATAGGGATGCAGCTGGGCAATCCACCAAAGATGGAAGTAGGTGGTGTGAGCCACTGATACTACC